AGGTATTTATAGGAGTCTCGGGAGCTAGGGTTTCAGAGGAATAATTCCGTAGATGGAAGGGAATTATTCCTCCCCAATTTGGCGAGATTTTACTTAATTAGGGATTTGATTTATTGATTTAAATCAAATCCCTAATCAGGATAGCAATCAGATCAATATCTAATTTAATTAGGTAACTCCTCCATTAATTGAAAATATTCGTAGGAATTTAAATCAATCCTCAACCTAATTAGGAATCATTCTATTTAATTGAGTAACCCCCAATTAAATTGAATAATTCCTGATTAGGTCAAATAATCCCCAAATGGAAGGAATTATTTGACCTAGGTTTGTGAATTAATTAGGTTCCCACAATTACACACACTCAAAACCCATTTATAAACATACCCAAAACCCATCATTACACACATACCCAAAATCCATTTTGGGTATGTTTCTATGTTTAAATAGTGCTTGGGTATTTTTATAAATACATGTCTAGGATTGGGTATTTTTATAAATATCTAAATTTAATAGAGCCAGCTATCAATTTTTAGGTTTTTTTTTTTTGTTTATTTATAGAAATTAAATGATGTATGATTTATTTATAATTTTAGTGCTAAGAATGGGTATGTAACTAAATATCTTAATTAGTAAATGGATTATGGCAAAAAATAATCAATAGTTTCTTTTTTCCTGTTAATGAATGCAAAGCCGCGTAGGTACTCAACAATGTTTTATACATTTAAGGTTGTGTTTTATTCAGTATTTTGGATTTTTCTAATACAATGAAAATGTAAATAAAAAAATTAATACAAGTCATATTGGAAGAAGGGAATTTGAACCAACGACATGTGTATTGATACGTGATTTAATGAACGAATTTGGTGAGCCTCAGTATCTCTTATTTGTATTGGTTCAATGATGTTTGCTAGAGGCCAGAGCCGTTAATTTGATTTGAAACAATTTTCATACAAAGCAATATTGAGGAAAGAAAAATCAAACGCAATGCAAGTATAAAATAAATGCTCTCACCCACTTGGAGGTAACATTTTTTTATCTTTGTGAAACTTGGACCATCTCCAACTCAAATTGTGTTAAATTCAAATTTCCTCCTCCAAAATACAACTATTCATGCATTGCCCGACTCAAACGGTTTTTTTCTTCAGTCCTGCGAACTCAAAATGTGAGTTTATTAAATTATTTAAAAATAATTAACTTCTATATTTTTTTTTATCGTTAATTTTTCTTAGAGGTAACATATTTTGATGAAGGGCACTTAAACACATGCACAAGACATACATAAAGAATTGGCAGAAAGAAAAATCCTTTGTGTGGTTTTAGTTTGGGTCAAAAAGTTGTGCAAATTATAAACGCGTGGTTGGGAAAGAATGAACTTGAGCAGCTAAACTTTGGCAACAGACTACAGTGGTGCCTGTATCTATTCATTTTTAAACCGTTGGTTCTCAACTTCCAAGCTCCAACAGCCACAACCAGAAAAATGGCTTGGGCTCTGCTCTCTCTGCCTCTCACCCTCCCTCCCTCTTCTTCTCCTCTGTCCTCCATACTCAATCCTTTCAAACCCAAATCCCAAATAGGCTGGCTTGCAAGTTGTAGTGGCAGTAGAAGAAGAGCAAGAGTCATAGTCAGTGCTGCAGACCAGGAAAAAACCGAGGACAAAGACGAAGACAAAGACTCGTCAGCTTTCAATCCCTTTGGCTTTGTCACTGATAACCCGTCAAGCCGCAGCGCCATTCAGATCATTGAGAGCCCTGCAGAGTCTGGCAATGTCGGCCAAATGCTTTATGTAAGCTCTAGTTTGAGTTCACTGTTTTTATGAAGAATTGCTGACGAATTCTCTTTATTGACGTATTCAATCTTATGATATTGTCTATTTGTCAACTGGGTTTCAATTAAATTTAAAATAGTGTCATTGTTAAAGCAATTCTGAGAATTGTATAGATATATCATATAAGCCATTGATACAAGTGCTTTTGCAAAGAATTACTAGAATCTTGTGAACTCTAACAAGGGAACCACACAAGGTTGTGAATGCTGAGTGCAGTTGAGTCAATGTTTGCTTTGGAATTACTCGTAGAGTCGTAGCTTTAACGAAAGTTGAAAGATGGAATTTGGACTCTGGACTTTAGTACGCCATTGCTGCACAAGATAGAAGTTATAGCATACTACGAAGGAAAAAGTCTTTCACCAGACTCATAAAAAAAAAAGTATTTCACCAGAAAATAGTATGCAATATCATCATGGCTGTGGAATTCTTGAATTTGTGGTCATTCAGAATGTGCTCTAAATTTTTCATGTTACATGCTATTATTTGACAGTTTATATAGCCAGATATTTGTAAATATTTAATTTCTTGCTTTTGAATCTAGAGGATAGAAGACAAGGGGAAGGAATATGGAAAATACATCAGATCGGGGGAGCATGTATGGTTTGTTAGAGAAACTGGTAAAAAAATTATGTTGCCACATTATACTAGTTCCTCTTTTTGTTCTTTTTAACTTTATAAGAACGATTTTACTTTGCAGGATCAGCTGAGAGCCAACGTGGAACAGTTATCTTTCTTCATGGTGCTCCCACACAATCTTATAGCTACAGAAACGTTATGTCTCAGGTCTAGCTGAATTTTGTTTTCGATGTTATATACTACTATTTATTTTGCTGATTTTGGCTTATTGTAAATACTTACGGCAGAAAGCTTAAGAAACTGTAGAGTAGATAATCCATGCTACAGTGTTTGACCACACCTACATGCTCAGACATTCTCTTGAATCTCATGTTCATGTAATTTGAGTCTTTATTGTGACTTAGTCTGCCTTAGCTGTCAACTTATTGCTGCTAAACTTCAGAATCATTACCTTTATCTTGAATAGATGTCAGAACTTGGGTTCCACTGCTTTGCACCTGATTGGCTAGGGTTTGGTTTCAGTGACAAGCCACAGCCTGGATATGGATTTGATTACAAAGGTATATTCTTTTAGTAGAAGACTTCTCATGTCAGAATTTTTATTTTGGGGAGAGCCTCCTATAATGTTCTTCTTATTAAAAAAAAAAATATATTGGTTTCCACTACAGAAGAGGAGTTCCATGAAGAATTTGACAAATTACTAGATGTGCTGGGGGTCAAATCTCCTTTCTATCTGGTCGTTCAGGTTTGAACACTTGTAGAAGACAAGCTATTGGACTGGTGTTTGTCATGAAAGATATTCTGGTTCAAAAGATTTCAGTAAAGTCTAGTCAAGCTATTGTTAAATCTATGTTATAGGTACTCTTGTAATTAAACAATGTATCTTACATGCTTTAATTCTCCCCTTGAAGGGATTTCTTGTAGGTTCATATGGATTGACATGGGCCTTAAAAAACCGAAGCAGAATATCTAAGCTTGCAATTCTAAATAGTCCACTCACAGTTTCATCTCCTGTTCCTGGACTGTTTAAGCAACTAAGGTTTGATGTTCTTACTTGAAAAAAATAACATGATATTAAAAGCCAGATTTACCTCTTGACATGGTTTTTCTAATGAAGAACTTTTTCTGCCATGAAGGTAAAAATACTAGTTACAGTTTTTACGTTATCCTCGAATTCAAGTTAATTAGACGACATATTTATTGAAATATTTCAAGAGAAAGGCATGCTTACCCAAACGCTAGGGCCACTTCCAAATAGAAAACTTGGATGATTAAAAGTTCAATTATTTATTGCATTATGACGAAGGCTCAGATTGAGGCTTTACACGTTTTCTCTTTTTGAGCTGATCAGACATTTAACAGTTAGTTTCTAATTTTCTTTGTACTATCTATTTCTAAATTTTCATTCCAATTTTCTTTTGATTCTTTTCAGAATTCCTCTTTTTGGTGAATTTACATGCCAGAATGCTGTTATGGCAGAGCGCTTTATTGAAGCAGGTAGCGCGTACGTATCTAGTTCATTTATCCAGTTCTGTGGAATCACATAAAGATATATCCGTCTTGTTGGCCAGGGAAAGCATATTAACAATCTTCCTTGGTGCTATTTTTTCCTTTCCTTCCCAGTAGCAAATGCTGCTATTAGTATGTAAATAAACTGAAAGCAGCACTCAGCTACATCTAAACTGAGGATGCTTGTACTTTTTTTAGGCCCTGAGGATGCTAGTAGCTGGTATTAGGCGTTGTGTTAAATGGATAAAGATGTCAAACCTTAGGTTTCAACATATGCATATTTTCCATGGTGCTTTAACCAAATCAATGGTAATGCAAACGGCATGTAACAGACAAAACTAAATTTATCAAACAACTGAGTTTCTAACAATATTAGAAGTAAATAAAACTTAAAGAAGGAAAAAAAAAAAGCATCATTGACATATCTAATGAGATTTGGCATAGCTCTTACAAAAAAGCATGTCTTCTTTCAACAGTTACGTCTTGAAGCTGGAAAAGGCTGATGTGTACCGGTTACCATATCTTTCAAGCAGTGGACCTGGATTTGGTTAGTAATCCATTTCTTCAAAGGACCCTATTATTCAATGTTTACATTTTTAGATTACTAATAAATAATTGGGCCCTTTAGTCTCTGAAGTAATTTTGAGTTGAAGTTAATTATGAGTATGAGCAGAATTAAGGTTCTCTTAACCTTTCAAATATCTTTTTTTTTCTATCAATGTTTCAGCTATACTTGAAGCTACCAGAAAAGCCAATTTCAATAATATATCAACCCAAATAGCATCTGGCTTTGCATCTGGAAGGTATACCTTTACTGTGTTATCTTTTAAATACGTTGGTTCTCGTTTGCATGCTTTTGTCATATGTTTATAGCTTTGAACTCGAAAGGTTGACAGATTTAAAATGATAATTTGAGCCTATAAAAAAGTTCTCTGGAATTTAAAATAACAGCTGCCAGACGTTGTTATAACCTAAAGGAAAATTCGTGTGTTATCAGTCAGTAACTAACTCAAGTTAACGTGGAGAGATAATAATATGAAGAAAGGCTCCAATGGTCAAATCATAGACAGTTTTGTGGGGTTCTATCTCTGATTTTCAGATGTTAAAGAAGAGAAACTTGTACTTCCATTGGTCTTTACCATTTTGATTAATATTTGCCTCAAAGTAAGGAACACAAAAACAGTGAACAAGGCTTACAATATACCTAAAACAATCACACCTATTGTGTATCCTCTAGCACGAAGTCTAAAGAGTTCTGTGACACAAGATGTTTCAGCTAAGAATAGATAGCTTAGCGTTTTATTTGTGCCTCTATAATATCGTTGAATTGCATAAAATCTGTCCAAAAAAAGAATTGTATAAAAAGTCGTTTAGCTGAGAGAGAATGTGCACAATTCAAATTCATAAAGTATCTAGAGTTCTGTTTTTACATCAGATTGGCCATTTACTGCATCCATAGTGATAGGTCTCTTATCAACTGGATGATTGTCATTTCATGGTCAACATGACAACTTTGAATTTTGTATAACTGTTTCCGATAATGTATTTTACTTTTTGCTGATGACTTGCTTAAAAATGGCTTCTGGACTTCAGTTGGGATATACCAACTCTAGTTGCTTGGGGGATTGCAGACAAGTATCTGCCTCAATCTGTGGCGGAAGAGTTTCAGAAAGGAAACCCTACTGCTGTCAAGCTTAAGTTGATAGAAGGTGCTGGGCATATGCCACAGGAGGACTGGTAAATGACTTTCAGATTTCAGTTAGAATTCATGTGTCTCACACTATTTTGCCTCTTTCACTTTTCTTAATGAAGTATTGACAAACATGCAACAGGCCAGAGAGAGTTGTTACTGCTCTGAGAGTGTTCTTTTAAGTTCAATGCATGAATCCACCTTTAATCTGGAAATCGGCATCATCTTCCAAGTTAATTGTTTGAAGGTAAGAAAGAAAACCTTTCCTGTAACTCTTTTGTCAACTTAGTTGAATTAATTCTGCAAATTATTCAGATACCTACTTGAGAAGGGTCTCCTTGTGCCCTGGTAAACATGAAACAATAGTTGATGAAGTAGCATATGTTACGCTACAATCAAGTGATTATATTATTCCAGAAGCAATTAATTGCAGAATGTTGCATTTTCGAAGGAGACTGCTGTACATCAGAAGCCTACCCTTTCTCCCCGTTACAGCATATAATTATCTGCATGAGCATACTAGAGCTGCATGGTTTATATATAATTCTATTAATGTGCTCATTAGTTCTCCTATGAGTTGAAGTGATATGATTTCTCTGCTGGAATGCTTGATTGTTTTCTGTTCTTAAATTGCCAAATCAAGGGTGAAGTCGTCAATGACATAACAATGAGTACGAGGAGAATTCACTTAACAATGCTCCTTTTACTCTGTGATTTCCTTTCAGTTAAACAGCTGCATGACTTGAGGGGATTCATTAAACTGCAAAAAAGATCCTACCAGTTGCCTTGGCAGTTCATGTGTAAATATTTCTCCTTTTTTGTTGTATCATATTGTAAACATTTGAACTCAGATTTTTTTAAATATACTCTTCTTCTTTATATGTATTATAGTAAACAATGATAAATACAAACTAAGAATTTCATAATTGTCTTCTTTCTGTTCTACCATTGTGAGTAGTCTTGTAACTTGAAAGTCCAGTCAAGATTATTCGCCTCTACTCTTCTGTAACGCATTTAAAACCTCATTTGTGGAAAACCACTACTTTAGGTGCAAGCAAAGAGAGTATATTTCCAACAACAATTGCGCATATAATACATAATGGAAGTCATTAGTATAACCACATAATTAGCACTGGCCAATTTCATGATAAAAAAAGGCTTACTACTGGCTAGAGCTAGCTACAAAAACTGAATCCGCTGGGTAGAGTTAGTTACAAAAACTGAATCCCCTTGTACGCCCATCATCCTGTACTTCCAAAAAGAGCTGGACTTTGCATCATAGGTGTTGAATATATCTCAGTAGCTACCTATTTTGCTTTCTTCATCTTCTTACTATTCTGACTGGTCTGGACTGTTTTCTTTGATGTCTTCTCTACCTTGGATTGCTTATTATTGGTCACTTTTCTTGTTTTATTCTTTTGATCTTCATCATGATGATCATCATTGTCATCATCGTCATCATCCTCACTGTCATTGGCATTGTCTTCATCATCACTCTCTTTAGATTTTCTTTTCACTGATGACCTCTTACCTTGACCTCTAGGCTTCCTCCCTTTCTTCGACTGCACACTTCCATTAACTTCTTCATCACTTGCTGCTTCATTAACATCATCATTGACACCATCACCATGCCCTTTTCTCTTGTTAGCTTGTTTACTCCCTGCTCTGGCAGCTTGCTGTCCACTTAACTTCTGAAGCTCTGGTACATACGCTGTAGTCTAGAAGAACAAAACCCAAAGTAAAAAATAAATAAGGACCACTGAAAAGAAAAACTTAGAATTGCCACAAGGGCAATATAAGAGGGCCTCTTTTAGCATGACATACCCTGCTACCAACTGTGATAAAGTCAATTTTCCTCCCTGCGTTACATGAAAACATCAATTAACCAAATGTTAGGCAATAACATACAATCACACGAGGGTCAGAAACCAAACCATCAACAAAAGCCTTTCCAGGCTTCTTTTCACGGGAATGAAAAATCCAATTACTTGGAAATTGACTACTATCTGCCCCAACTTCAAGTGATTTTTCGATAACCTGTAAAATAAACTCTTGTCAAAATGACCACATATATTTCCAGTTTCTTACCATTAACTTTTCTGGGCTTTTTGCCCCACCGAAAATGAAACAACCATTCACGGGGAAACTGGATAGAGTCTGCATCAACTTGAACCGCATATTCAATAACCTACAGGTATTCATCCTCTATATTTGCAATGAAGAGTGCATATTCACCTCTCGGGGAGGAAAAAAAAAAGTACAGGTACTAGCGGACTCAATATAAGAAGTTAAATCTCGCACCTCTTTGATGCTCTTGTGCAAATTTCCATAATTTTCTTTCGACAAGCTGGCAGCACTTTGCTCTGGATGAATTCTTGCCTGTAAGAAATCAAATAAACTGTAAAAGTCCACCATCAGGCATAATCTTAGACCTACAAAAGAAAACCAGTAATAATTTAAAGCAGCTTAAAGAATCAGCACCAGGTGTAAATTAGAAGTTTCTTTACGTATCATATAAAAGGAATTCAATTGAGCATATTTCCAATCCCCTGGAAAAAATAATGGAATTGCACAAAGCCATAAACCCTGGCTAATGGAGGTCAGCGAAGTGCATGTTCTTTCTTCCTGTCACAACCAGAAGTCATTTTAGACTCTGAAGGATGGTTAACCTGAAGCATACTATCTCTCTTGCAAGTTTCCATTCTCAGTAATTACTAACTATGACCAAATCATCTTAGGTTACATTTGGATATGTTGTTTTAAGACAAGACTCTTGTATCTGACTACTTATTTTGAATTGGATGCATCAAATGTTAAAAGAGCATACAAAGAATCCCTAATCCTACAGCCCTTGTAAATCTAGGTCATCAATATATCTCTCTTATCCAGACCAGCCCATATTCTAGTTAACTGAAAATTATTCAGTTTTCAGTATTGCAACTCATCCATCTCAATCTCATCATTTTTCTGGGACCATACAGTATCTCAATCTTACCCTATTATTTGGGTCCCTAGAATAGTTCAATCTCATGTCAACTAGAATGTAAATAAGACAAACGATACTGTTCAAATGTAAAGACCAAACTGACTTGATATAGTACTTCATCAGCAACCCAATTTCCAATTCCTGAAATGTAACTCTGCAAACATGTATAAAAAAAAAAAGGGTATTATCTATACGGTAAACACATAACAGAGAATTTAAAACGATATCTACACATACGACTATATACTTGTAGAATAGCCTTTGATTTGTATTCCATGGTAATATTATCCATAATTTGACACGCTAAAAAAATGAACCAAGCTGTACTAACCTGATCAAGCAATAGAGTCTTAATTGCAATTTTCTTCTTGCTCAAGGATTCAAAAAGTTCATCCCCTGTCATAGGCTCCAAGAGAGCATCAGGCCCGAGCTCAGATATGGGGGGCACAGATGCTGGCTGTACCAACAAATGGAAAGCTTATTAGAGTGCCAGCTTAAAAGAAGAACATGAAAACTTTACTGGTTAAGGAGGATATTATATACATCTTTGAGCAAGCGGACTCTAGCAAATCGCCTCTTGTCAGTGAAAGAGAACTCCAGACCATCATCCAGCTGCCCAAGGAGTATGTGACAGTCACAATGGGATAAGTTAACTCACAATATGACCCATATTTTTTTCAAAAAAACAGATCAATCAAATCCATGAAAGTATTTCATAAAATTGTTTACAATCAGTACAAATAAATGAGTCAGACAATTACTACTCCACTTTGATTGCTAGTGGGATAAGAAACAAACTTGAGAAAAGACATTGAAAAAGAAATATACATCCATGAGCTTTAATGGCTCAAACTATTGTAGAAAGGAACTAATTGCAGTTGAAGTGAAACTTGATCATGAAGCAGAATCACATAAGAAGATTCACATCAACTATTTCCTTTACCAACTGCTCTCAAGCACATAAAATCTCAAATAAAGAAAGGCCCGCACCATTTTTGCTTGCAGCATGGAAGACACATAAATATTCACATTCATTAAAAAATTATAAGGAATGAGCTAAATCCTCACCCCTTTTTTTTTTTTTTTTCCATCTTCAACATTCGCATGTGAGATGATTTAAAATTTCGGAAAATCCTAAAAGAATATACACCTTCAAACAGTGGCTGTTAACTTAGAGTACTCTGAAATGTCTCAGAAACCAAAGACCTTGTTTAGTAGCTATAATTACAATCGCTAATATTTAGTTGTCTCTCGTTCGAATACATTTCCTGCTAAAACCACAAAAAACTAGACTCACAGACTCAGAGAAACCCTCACAGCCTCAGTAATTTCATTTTGATAAAATCATTACCAAATAAGCATATATAAAACATAAAACAAAAAAACATCACCGTTGGTGTCTTAGAATATTAATTCTTACGTACTTCAACAAATAACTTGGAATACTTGGAAGGCCACTCATCAGTGTCCTTTACAGCAGACCTGAAAGCAGTTCAATCAAACATCATGTAAAAATAAAATAAAAATAAAAAATCACTTCTTTACTTGAACCCTTCGTTTGGGTCAGCCCAAAACAACAAAGGGAACCCAAAAATTCAGTCTTTCTATTTTATTTCACTTCATGGGCAGACACCCTTACCTCTTATACTTCGTGACCGCGACCCCTTTAATATATATAGCACCCGCCATCCCTGAAACTCATACAACCACAAAACACCAGACATTATTACATATGAATTTTCGCAGTACATTGTCACAGTGATGATAAAATTGACAACAATGGTGATAATAAGTATCGAAACGGCACCGAATTGGAAGGAAGGGAAAGGAGGAGAGTCGAGGCGGAGCCACAAGTTCTTGCCCTTGCGGTGAGCAGAGACGATGGTCTTTCCCAAGAGCGACGCCTCGAAGTCGGCGCGAGAGACTCCGTCGATGACTTTGGGGTCATCGGCGATGAGCGCTTTAGTTATCTTCTTCCCCAGGCAGTTTTCCTCTATGGCCCTCCGGGCCGCCTCCACCTCCGGTAGCTCTGGCATTTCGTCGCTTCGGTTCGCGCGCTTTTTGGGTGGAGTATGTGACAGAGTGGGTGGAGTGAGTATCCAATGGAGGTTTGGGGTTTTGTGGGGGGAGTCAAAGTGGAGTAAGGTGGAATCTGGCGCGGTGGGTGCATGAGTGTGTGGAACATGAACCGTTGATGTGTAAGAAAATGGATCTGTGATGGAGATATGTGGATCAACGGCTGAGATTTGGTGTAGTCAATGGGCTGTTGGGGACAGTATCCATTGCTAAATGTAAGTGTTTTTATTTAAAATCTTTAGTATTTCTTTTCTTTTCTTTTCTTTTTTCTTGAAAGCAACATTGATTGTGAAAGTTCATCACAACACAACCAACCATTGAAGCGAAATGTGGTTGGCATTCAAATTTGGTCCAAATTATCACGGTCATGGGGTTAGCATAAACTCGAAGCTCACAAGTGAAGAAGGCCCAAGCCTTTGCCTATTTGAGGGGAACTCTCACAGGCTTTCTGCTATTGTAAAATGTAAGCTACATTATCTCAGCGAAAATCTCGAAAGTACTCAACGTTTACATTGTATCCTAATTCCCTATACATTATTTATTTTTACTTTCACAACTTTCTCCTCTTATAAAATGTAACCTATATTATCATAATGAAAATCTCAAAATTATTCAATGTATATGTAATTCGATTATAGTAAATCACGATGCTTCGCTCGTGTTCTTAGTGTAATTATGTCGGTCTTACTTTGTTGTGCCAAATTTTGGATCATCAACAAATGGTGAGCAAGAGATTGAACTACATATAACACTATCTTTGCCTATGCACATTCTCCATTGTTCTACTCATCCCGCAATGTGTTCATTTTTTATTACCTTTTCAAATATCATAGTTTGATAAGGTTCTTGTGTCCGTGGTCTAACTTCACTGACCTCCCAAGCTTCAAGAGGCTTGTACAAGAGCTGACTGGCAATGGAATAAGCTCAATTACTTCATCACACCCCCAGAAGCACAGACTAGTTGAGGAAATGGAAATCTTAGTTGTGGACATGGATCTTGAGCTGCCATCCGAATATCTTCGTTTAAAAGAATATTTTTAGTGTAGAAAGTCTCAAATTCAGGATCTTCCGTTGCATGAATTTCTTAAGACGAAGTCATAGACACATAGGTTCAGGGCCAGACCGACTACTCCAAGAGCACTCATCCAACCTACAAACAGTAAAAACCTACAAACAGGAAAACAATTATTTCTGAACGTAGAAATGGGCCTTGTATTTAATAACCTATACTGTATAATTCATACTGTACATATGATATGTACAGTATCATATAATGCATTTTCGTTTATAATGCATTTTCTCCTATGCCTGAAAAGGTTTGTCTTCTTTTATGCCTTTGTTTTGTGCCTTCAGTTTGGTTTATTATTTGGTAGGCACTCTTCTTGTATAGTGTTGTGCAATGTTCCTTGATATTTTTTTAGCACCTTTGAGTTCCTATTTTGTGGGCCTTATTTTTCATTAACAAAATATTCATTCAATTTAAATAAATAAAAAAGATTTTTTTGAGAGCACTAGTCTTTGAACTTATGCCCATTTATATTATGGTCCTCAAAAATCTTATATGGAGCAAGAAAGGGTTTTTTTTTTTGTTTTTTTTAAATACAAGCGATAGTCTAAACTAAAAAGAAGAGGGGGAGTTTCTCACACACACTACCTAAGTGCTATGAGGGTTTGAACTTAAGACCACTGGTCTGTAAATCATGGTCCTTTTCCGTTGGGATAGAGGTGGTTGTTGGCAAGAGCATAAAAGAGTTTTTTTGTTCTTGGATGTACTTGCATAAGCTTCTCTCTCTTCCTCTCTTATAGGAACTAATATAAAAACCTCTTCATTTCCCAAAATTTAAGGAAAAAAATTCATATACAAAGACATTTTGGCAGATAGAACTTGATATATAAAATAGAATAAAATCGATCAAAATAGTCTGAAAAGTTAATAATAAATTTAGTAAGCTGCCCTTAGGTACTTGATTTATCAAGTAAGTTAGAGAATTATTTTGGCATTCCTTCCTGGATGTATATCGTTTTGGATTTAAATATTTCTCCGAATAACTATGTATGCATTTGACCCTATTAATATACAAATACACTTGTGCAGGCTTTGCTTAGAATGAAACACAGATCGAAAAAATGAAAATAAAAATGAACAAAGAAGAAAAAACGAAGGAAGCTCCAATTTTGCCTCAGAAATAATTTACATTGACCATGCAAGGAGAAAGTAGTTGACAAATGTTTTGACTTATTGGTCCATTGGTCCACCCGTCCACCTCTAAAAGTCTCACAATAATCCAACCCCACCTCTATTTTTGCCCTCTCCCAAGTTGGCAAGATGTGTTTCTATCAAATGCAACATCAAAGACAGAAACTTCTGGTTTAAATGGTTAAGAGTGTTTAAATGGTTAAGAGTGTTTATATTTGCGTCTAAGGTCTAGTTCGATTTCCCATTTCTCAATATCACTTATATCAAAATAAAATATGCAACTTCAAAAAGAACAATCAAATTTCTACTCTTCTTTAACACATTGTTTTTTTTTTCTTTTTCATTTAACCATCCAAATTTTGCAGTGCCCATTACTTCAGGATCCCAATTGGGGGGCCCGTATCATTATTGTTACTTTTTGTTCAAGGGATTTTATAAGTAATGGTTCCTGAATTTATATCAGAGTTTCATTTTGCTATTTAAATTGGTTTCGTAATTATTTATATCATAGTTTCATTTTGCTATTTAATTTTTTCATAATATTTTTTTTATTGGGTTTTAGAGGATAATTGTATCCAAATTAGTACTTTTACTCCTCAAATTAACGAAATGACTAAATTAAAGAAATGCAAATTTTGAAATATCAAAATAAAACTCGGGAATAAGTTTATAGACAATTTCTTTTAAAAACTCTTTTGTTGAATATGTACTCAATAAGTTGGCCCAAGGCAGAAGGAAACATATGTTATAAGTTCCCCCACGCGCATGTGGTTGTTGATGATCCTATACAATACACGACATTGACATGACAGGAGAGCTGCAGTGTTCCTTTTTCTGCAAAGTTTGGTGAGGCTTTCACAACAGCCTGGAATTGCAGGAGGACAATAACTTCAATATATTGTTTTTCCTTTGTGCACCTATAGAGCACCTTTTTTTGGATGAGCTCACTTAATGGGGGACAAAGTGATCAGGCCACTGGCAAGAATTGAAGATTTTTGTACCTCGTTGTTTTTAAGGAAAATGGTTAAATGTTGTGATTTCTAAAATGATACTGCTTGTCACTTTTTCGAGAAGGATATATTCTTTTTTCTTGTAAATCACGTTTGACCTAGTTTGACATAAGCGAATTCCTCTAAGGCATGAAATTAATATTGGGCTAAGGGCGGAGCCAATTAAGGCCTAGGAGGGTCATATGACTCTTCTGATCCAATGGTAACGCTTACAGTTTAGGCTTTTGTTTGCTCATTATTTTCAACTTGACCCTAAGAAAAGAAGGCATGAAGCATATGGAAGTGGGTGGTAGAGCAACTGGTTTGACCTTCTACCACGTAAGTGTTTTTATTCATGTTTAGCTTAATTAGCAACTTCTTCCAATATTGTCTAAAAACCCATTAAATATTTTTGGAACAACAACCATCAAAGTTTTCTTATATAAATTGAACTTATTCTAAAATATTTATGTAGAAAAACAATGGATACTTAAGATTTTAGGTTATTAATTTATTATCTCATAGTTTTATTAAGTTGTTGACCCCCCAAAGCATAATTTCTGGCTCCGCCAGTGTCATCAGCGGGACTCAAATCTAAGCCTTGATAGCGAAGAAAACGATCCTTATCAACTCAACCAACCCTCGTTATGCTTTAATAGTCCTTTAGAATAGGTAAGGATAAGTGCACAGAGGTTCACTATGGTGTGAAAAGGGTTAAACTGCACAAAAAAAGTATAAAAATAACAATTCTACATAGTTGTCAAACTATAATTGGCATGAAAGTCAAAGTTCCTACTTCATGAAAAATAGGCAAGTATTTTCTTTTCTGAAATAGGGTATGCCCAGGTTACGTAATATTAATATTCTATTTGAAGCCAAGTTGGGAGAGAAGGCGTACGGCTGCAGTTGTCTGGTTTAATTCCTAGATGGTGACTTAATTTCTATTCCAAAAAAGAACTAAATTAATTCATCTATATCATACGTAAGGCGACATAAAAATAAAATAAATAAATCATAAGTAAGAGAAATTTCACGTTGTAGGTTGGCCTTTCCAATGTTTCCATGTACAAATTAAAACAAGAAATGCAAAATTAATGAGAGAAAAAAGAATGGCAGCCGAAAAAAATTAACTAGTTTTCGGTCTAGTGGTAAATGTCTTCATTTGGTTGTTAGCCCGTTTTAAAAATATCTTATAAATATCATATCGTTTGTAAAAAAATATTGAGTAGGTGATCTATTGGTTTTCATAACCCTCTATGGAGGCTCAATATATAATGTACCGAGAAATTTTACTTTTGATGCATTCCAAAGGCTATAAATTATTGCAACCATCTTGTACTTTTGATTTTTGCCTTAAACCTTTTTGTAGTTGGTGGTTAAAATTATGTCTTTGTCGTCAGTCCATTAAGATATAATTGACAAGGCTGCAATTAATTAACAGTAATCTTTATCATAAGAGCATCTACAATGGTGAAGGTGAAAGTCATTTCAATTTTATTTCAATAAATTGAACTTTTCACTTGCAATGGTAAAGTTCAATTCATTTCCGATATGAATATTTTATTTCAGGGATCAATAGTTCTTTTCAGAGGTCTATAAAATGAACTCTGAAATGAAATTCATTTCAATAAGTTGGCCCACCATAATAACTCTACAACCTCTCTTTTATTGACACATGGACAACATCAATTTTTACTTTTTAATTTTTTCATTACATTTAATTAGTGCAAACTAGCCGTTACTTTTTATTTTATTTTTAAAGCAACTAATTTATTTCACTGTTTAAAAAAACAAACATCTAGTCAATATATATATACTAGCCATTACTGATTTGTTTCACTTTTCAAAAAAAGGATAGCTAATTATATATACTAGCCATTGCTAATTTATTTCACCTTCCAAA